TCCAGCTGACGAGACACAAGTAGAAGGAAGCATGTGCCAAACTGTGTTCTACTGCTAGCCACTATCGATCTTTTTCCTATTTTGTTGTTTTTGGTGCAGTTTCATAATCTAGGCTGTGTGATTTGATCAATGACGTTCTCTTATCATCCTTCTGGATAAACTATCAGCATAAACTTCAGACAGAATTAAATATTCGAATTCCTTCACATATGACTGACAGGCTAGCCTGACAGAAAAGCTGTTCTGTCAAATCAATCGAGAGAATGAAACTCCACGAAAATCCTCTACCTGAGCCATAAATCTCTTATTCTAGTGTATGTTTCCTGTCAGCTCCTAATTGCGAATTACTTTCATCATAATCTTAAGCGAATTATTTGTTTTCATGTGACATATATGCATTCAGTATATATCACTACTGTGATATTATTAACTCCATCATATGGATAAGTTTGAGTCGTTAACTGTGATCGTATTGTGTCTAGTGAGGAAACCTTTGAAAAAGAATCTATGTTGTTATAGGGCCAGTGAAATGTCACTGAGCTCTAACCAATACATACGGCAGTTGGGTCAAGTAATTGATCCCTGTCAAAGTAAAGGACAGTCAACGGACATCACTTAATCTTATACCATGCTGACTGTGAGGTCTGACTTTGAAGGTAGCTGGTTTGTTACACCGATCCCGTCTAACTCGAGTAGGCCATCAATCATTCGACATAGATCATCTACGTTGACGATCTAAATTGTTATCTTTCCAAGATCAATGAAGTCATCATTCAGACTTGTAACTTTCGATGAATAATTGTATTTATGATTACTTAGTTCCACATACAAAACATTAGTATCTAAATGTCTGAATCCTTTTCATAAACTATCGATTTGGGATCAGAAACATTACTCATTTGAAATTCCTCACTGAGTGATATGCAATAAGTTAACTTACTCAGAAACCGGAGTCGTTATTAAACAAATTGACTTTAATGAAAATTATATAGACTTGTGGAGTTTTAGAGTGATTTTCAACAGGACACCGAAACTTTCATGTTAAAGAAGCAGTTTTAACTATGACTATATTCTATCTGTCCATTATTAGCCATTCTAGGATGGTGATGGTTAAAGATAATCGACAAGAAACCCTATGCTTAGTTTTCGTGCTACTTGGCATCCGTCAGTAAGGTGTACTTATAATCTTTAGGGAATGGATTCTCCCTAGCATATACAATCATATGTAACCTAGTTTCATAGTTAGAAACGTTATCACTGAATTATCCGAGTAGCGGCTAACATCATATTGGATTAAGGTGTGTTTACAATTGATTAATCAAGTAGCTTTCGTTGCCAAGACCATCAATGATGTTGATGTTTATCAGTATTGATCTAGAGTTAAGTAATTTAAAGGAATTCTAGTCAACTCGAAGAATTTTTTTACTCATTTATTAGACGGTTGATGTTACAAATCTGCTCCTGTTGAGGAGTTCCATAATAGGACGAAACGGTAGTCCAGTGCTTCCAGGTATTCCATGGTGATCTCAACTATTAAATAAATTTATTTCGATATTTATTTGATTATAGATTAGCATACTATCATGCTTAATGTTAGATTATGTATGTATTTAGTTTAAGCTTAAAAGAAAATAACGCTTACTATAAACTAACTAACTATAGCCTTTACATACAGAGGATAATATTGATTTATAAAACATCTGAACTTATTACATAGTTCGATTTATACATGAAGAAATCACATACCTTTTAGTTATATCTTTTGTAATTGTACTATCTTCATATAACTCCGCCTGGAGCCCTTCTGGGGCTGTTGCCGGTTCAAAGCCCGGATAAAAGAAGAGGGTCGGGCATGGAGTTAACGACACCATCCGATAGAAAACCAACTCGCTAAAAAAACGTTAACCAGAAAAAGTTATTCAAACCATTTAGACTCTGCTGTGGGAGTTAGAAGGTTTTCATTCAGAAGAGTTATGATGCCTCATGGTGACAGCCAAGTTCCTTCGGAAGTCACGAGGCTGATGACTCTTCTGACAACCAGAGCAACCATTAACTTAGGTACATGAAATGTTCGTACAATGTGGGAGACCTGGAGAGTTATCTAAATTGCTGCAGAAATGAAAAGATACAACCTGGAGTTGCTTGAAATCAGTGAAACACATTGGACGCAAGTTGGACAAAAAAGGCTAGTTCAGGGGACCTGCTGTTATATTCTGTCCATAAAGAAGAAAATGCTACACACACACACACAAGGAGTTGCACTGATACTATCATCATATACCATGTAGTGTAAAGCATCAAATTCATTGTTAACAAGAATCGTAGGAGTAGTAATCAAATTGTAGCGGTAAATAAATCTCCAGAATAAATAGTTCTGAAAGTCCTCGATATTTGATGCTGACCACATTAGTTCCAATGGACAGATCTAGCTGGAGGCGCTCGATCACACATCCAAACCAGATCACAAGTGGGTACGTTGTTCTCAACTTCTCATGCACCCGCTCAGCAGTTTAGATCCATCACTTCTCAATATACTGACAACTTATCAGGGCTGCATTCCTACAAGTGAAGAACATATGGAACTCAAAACAACTGTCAACCAATATCAAAGTCACGATCTTCAATACGAACATCAAGACAGTTCTACTGTACGGAGCTGAAAATTGGAGAACTTCCACAAACATCATTAAGAAGGTACAAGTATTTATAAATAGTTGTCTACGCAAGATACTCATCAGGAACAACCTACTGTGGGAGAGAACGAACCGGCTTCCAGCTGAACAGGAAATAAGGAAAAGGCGATGGAAATGAATGAGACACATATTATGGAAATCATCAAACTGCATGACAAGGCAAGCCCTACCTTGGAATCCTGAAGGGAAACGTGTAAAAGGAAGGCCAAAGTACATACTACGTCGGGAAACATAAGCAGATATAAAAAGGATGAATAGCGACTGGAAAGAACTGTAAAAGATTGCCCAGGATAGGATTAGATAGAGAGTGCTGGTGGGCGGCGTATGCTCCTGCACGAGGAGTAACAGGCGTAAGTAGGTAGGTAAGTAAGTATCAGATATATCTTCGAACCTCTCCACTTCTGACTTCTGATTTCATTGGGTTGGCACGTTTCGATTATAGAAGTTGTTATTGCTTAAAGTGTTGTTAAAATTCAAATCCTTGCGGCCTCTTCAATTTCTTTTCAAATAGCTTCCATATATTTTCGCTTATACTCTTTCTATCATCAACAGTAATATCTTTTTAGTGGTTTGTTTAATTTCCTTCCCAAATGCCCTGGTACGGCCGAGAGTGAGGAGAGTCAGCTGTCTCTCACGAAATGCTCTCACATGGCCACGTACATACAACCATTACCAGAGAAGTCCTATTCACTGCCTTCTCGAGGCCGCGGTGTTGTTTACGAAATTGAGAGGACGAAAAGCGAATGTCTGGCGCTTTAACCAGGTTGCTGATCACGGAAAGTCCACCTAGGGGAGTTGGAAAACCCTCATTAAAAAACAACGGTGTACTTGGGCTCCAGGATCCTAAGAAAACAAATGGCGTATGAGCCTATTGTTGATGACCGGCTACCATGTGATTGTATCTCTTCACGTTGCTCCACCACCTTGTGGACTAGACCTTTAGGTCTAAGGCTCTAGATGTGTCCTGCCAAGAAAACCATCTGATTCGGTTTGGAAACTGAGGCAGTGTCACAGCCCTCACAAAAATTAAATGAGTTATGTGTTTAAATAAATAAATACATAATAATAACACTGTTTCTCGTTAAATTGTCTTCAGTTTGTCTTCGCTTCATTTTGTTTTGTCATCTCTTTTTCTCAACCAATCCCCTTATGGAATCTAGTTTAGTTTAAATTGATTACATACTTACTCCTGTTACTCCCAAAAGAGCGTAGGCCGCCAACAAGCATTCTCCAACCCACTCTGTCCTGAACCATCCTTTCTAGTTCCATCCAATCGTTGTTCACTCTTCTCATGTCTGTCTCCGTTTCTCGGTCTTCCTTTTCTCCTTTGACTTTGAGGATTCCATGTGAGGGATTGCCTTGTGATGTAATCAAGTGCTTCCCTCAATGTGTGGCCTATCCACTTCCAACACTTCTGTCTGATTTCTTCCTCCTCTGGAATCTGGTTTGTTCTCTCCCATAGTAGGTTGTTGCCGATAATGTCTGACCAACCAACGGATCCGAAGTATTTCGCCTAGACAACTGTTAATAATTACTTGTATCTTCTGGATAATGGGTTTCGTAGTTCTCCATATTTCCACCCCATATATTAGAAGTGTTTTGACATTTGTATTGAAAATTCTGACTTTAGTGTTGGTCGACAGACAGTTGTTTTGAGTTCCAGATATTCTTCAGTTGTAGATGTGCTGCTGTTGTTTTGCCTATTCTCACATTTACATGTGTATCAGATTCACCGTGTTCACCAATGATGCTGCCTAGGTATGTAAATGTGTTTACATCGTCCAAAGCTTTTCCGTCAAGTGTGATTCGATTGGTGCATGTTGTGTTGTATCAGAGAATTTTGCTTTTCCATTTATGTATGTTCAGACCTACTGTTGTTGAGGCTGCTGCAGCTACACTGCTCATCTTCTTTTTCATTTGTTGTCGTGTGTGCGATAGAGGAGTCAGATCATTTGCGAAGTTTGATTTGTATATCTTAAAACAAACATTCATTTGATTACATCATCATCATCATTCAATGTTGACTAGATCTTCTTTGATAAACATAAACTATTTCATTGTAATAATATAACTATATCCATCATATTATAATCATTAACTTTGTACCTCAATATTGTGTATATTATCAACATTGGTACAATTGTTTCTCAGCATAACTCTTAAACAATCATTCAATTTTCTAAAGAATTCATCTCATCTATTGATTGTAGCACAGGACAAAGATTATTACACTTCATTCCAATTGTAAATCAACATTAATTCTTTAAATAGTTTAAACTATTCTCTATACAGTTTAAATACTTGTTGAAATAACTAACAGTAATCATATTATTATTAGTATTAGTAGTATTATTAGTAGTATTGTTATTACCATTGAAAAGTGTTAATGAAGAATTATTTGATTAGTACAATGAAATGTAAGTGAATAATATTGATTTAATAGAAAGAATTATATAAATTCAATTCATTTGATATTATTGTTTATTTGTATCTTCTCATTGATATTTACGACTGCAATTGATCAATCTCTTTCTTGCTGGTACATAGGTGCATCTTGTGCATCTTGTCTCTATATTGTCTGAAGTCACAAGCATTATAAGCAAAGATAGTTAATGACTAGCAATGGGATCCAGTTTAACAAGCGTTTCGTCCTGCTTTGATACTCGTCAAATGGATGCACCTGCATCTGAGTGTTGATGTTCACTCTGAGACTCGAACCCGCTGCCGTTCGATTCAAACGCCATTGTATTATCCACTTAGCTACTGAGTGTTAATAGGTACAGGGTTGTGTGATGAGGTGACGTTTAATTCACTTGTTATTGTTTACTTGAATTTTCCCATTGATGTTTAAGACTGCAATTGATAAATCTCTTATTGGTATATATGCATCCTGTGAGTATTGCATGGATATCGCCTTAATTAACAAGATTTATAAGCAAAGATGAATAGTGGTTAACAATGAAATCCAGTTTGACACACGTTTCGTCCTATTTGGTACTCGTCAACTGGATGTACCTGAATCCAGAGTTGATGTTCGCTATCCATCTCTGTCTATAAAATTATTAAATTAATTTCAGAGTTTTACTTTCATATTTAATAAAAATTATATTTTAATTGTTGAATTCACGAATCAATTGAAGCTAGATCACCATAGAAAATCTGGAAACACTAGGCAGCCGTTTCGTCATACTATGGGACTCCTCAGCAGTGCGTGTCCACGACGCTTCCTGCGAGACTCTAACCCAGGACCTATCAATCTCGCGTGCGAGCGCTTAACCCTTAGACTACCGAACCGGTATTCAACGGTGTTAATATCTAAATTTGAATCTTGCGAGGTAGAATCCTGGATACGCGCTGCTGAGGAGCCCCACAATAGGACGAAACAATCTTCCAATACTTCCAGGTTTTCCATGATGGACTAACTTCAACTAATTCATGAATTCAACCATTAAAATTACTATAATATCCTTTCACTTATTAGAAAAAAAATGATCTTCTTTTCACTTTAGTTAAACAACATCTAGAAAGTGATCTAACACAATCGAATAGTAAACAAGTAGGTTATTGATGCATTTGTTTATTTAATTACATAACAATAACATAATATATTTAGATAATCATGGAACCAATTCAACGAATATCTGGTATCCTATTTTATATTAAGGTAATCTAATCCATAAATGATACTTCGTTTGAAAGGCTAGTGGTATAGCTTTGATGCAATTAATCATTATATGGGGAATGAATACTACTGTAATATTAGTGTGAGTTTATTTTATTCATTTAAACAATTCATACTACTTATTATTCAGTAATACATTCAAGGAATGGTTACAATCTACAAACTGGTTTGTTGGATTGTTTTTGTAAGTTATTATTAGTATACTACTTAATCTGAAGTTTTCTTGTTGTTGTGGTAAATGTGTGTATATATGTAAATGATTAAAAAATTGAAGGAAAATTGGGCGAGACGCTAATTTATGGACTAGCCAATCAGAGGCGTTTTAGAGATTTCAAAGTTACGGCGCAAACTTCAGTCTTTAAGGTTAACGTACGATCGGTTCATAGGGAATTTTGTACAAAGCGTGATTATTGAGCGGCTATAGCAAATAAAACAGCTAGATTATATTTTGTGGACGAAACAATCAGGTATAAGATAATAGATCTCGGATTTAAACGCCAAAGCCTTTCATCCATTTGGCTAAACAGAGTTTTGGCTTTATAGCTGATGTCAGTTCCTGATGAAAACCCTATATATGATTGCTAACTAAGGCAAATTATGACATTTATTACGAACTGGATAATAAAAGCACCCGTAACACTGGCTGCAGCGAGGTACTACAATATATACGGATGTTTGGAGAGCGTACAGACTCCTAAATAGGCTTGGTTGTGTGCATCGTTTCGTTATCCACAAGTAACATTTTGTGCACTCAACAACCGGAGTGCACATAAACAATATTGAAGCTATGTCGTCGGGACTAAAAGAGTTTTTGCTGCCAAAGACCGACTGTTATGTAGCCATATGGATGATTTCCTCTACTGTATTCATTATGATTTTATAACCTCTGAACCTATTTCTATCCTTGGCAAGTTTTTGAACCACGTATAAGAAGTGTATCCACTTTATTTCCTTGGTTTTGTATAATATATTTTTACTCTATACTGGCTGTTTGCTGATTGGCTAATATTTCTCAAGGTCGCTTAAGTTTCGTTCAAAGGTCGTCCATAAATTGGAGTCTCGCCGAAAAATGTGTATATTGTTTGTAGATCATTAATATTGATGATCTATGCCGAATGAGTGAGGATATACTCGAGTTATACAGGAATGGTGTGATGAACCAACGAACTTCGATGTCAGCATCTTACGTGAATTATCCCTTCGACATATCAAAGTATTATGGATGCTTTGAATATCGTACATCACAAAGGACGTTATTACAGCAATATATATTAGTTAAATTAGGTACAAAAGAAAAGTTGCTACCACCACTTCATGGTCCAGTCCAAGGCATACGATAATTTGATGTGAGTTAGTTGTCCTTGATTTTGACAGGGTTCATGATCTGTTCGATATTCAGTGATCCAACTGCTGGATGTATTGATTAGGGCTCAGTGATATTTCACCGGCCCTAAGTATTCAAATATCTAACATAACAGTTAGATTCGCTTGGTGTTGTTTTACTTGTATCTTCCCATTGTTATTTAGGACTGTAATTGATCACTCACTTGTTGGTATAGGATGAACACACGTTCTAGCTTCCACTGCTAGCCATTATCCATCTTTGCTTATAATAGTTAAATGTTTGTATTACTTCCTAAATTCGCCTCCTAATTAACTGCACTTTCTAAGTAATCGTCATGCTACCCAGTAATAATCATAGAATCCAAGTTCAATTTAACAATTCACCTGATGTTAATTACATTGAAGCGTCTAACTACACGGCTGAGATATGCATGAAACCGAAGTTTAAAAAACAACGATTTGTCTAAAGAAGGGTTCTTTATTGTGGAATAAACACAAATGGATTATAAACCTCAACTCGTGACATATATATGTCAATTAACACGCCTGTAATTGTAGGAGCAGAAAGGTTTCAAGAGCGTAAATGACAGCCGATAGCTGTGTTTAATGTTAACAATAGTTTGTTGTAGCAGTTCACGATGTCTAGCCAGAGGTTACTTAGTGTACTAGAGTAGTGTGCAGATTAGCGTTACTGAAGAGCGTAAAGGTTAGACGATAACCCATCAAGCATACACAATGCACTTACATTCACTAAAGAAAGCAATCAGAAATATTACAAGCCTTAGGTCAAGACAATTTTGGAATTGAAACCAGAAGCCGATGGTTTCACTCACTAGAATATCAGCAACTAAAATGGCAACTAAGAGCATATAAATATGAAAACTGTTACGTTTAAACAAAAGCTCAAAAGATGTACATAACTGGAATAACTGATAATAACTACAGTAAATACTTTGGGGGATGACACTAAAAATAAACTAGCACCAAGTTATCCGATTAGAAATTACTATAAATACAACCGTTTACTGAATATTAATAAGTAGTATAAAATAACAAACGAAATACAAGTCAAATTAGGCGAGAATATGGACAGGAAATGCAAGTGAACACCTAGTGTATTCTATTACGATTTGGATTGCAATGTTGCCACAAGTAACAATGTTTCGGTCAGATTTTCATTATTTAATCAAATCTTTCAAGATATATAAAGCTAGAATAGTGAGAAACGTAAGGATATTAAAATCGAATATGATGGGAAACTAATAATACCGTAGGTGCAGTCAAATGTTGCTGAGCTCTAGCCAAATCATCCGGCAATCGGGTCACTGAATATTGAACAGATCATCGATCCCTGTCATGGTCAAGGACAACCAACTCACATCAGTTAATCACATGCCATGGACTGGTCCATGAGCTGGTGGTCACAATTCCTAACTTGTATGATATACATATTGCTGTAATAACGGTCTCCAAAGCATCCATAGTACATTGATACGTCGAAGGGACAATCAATGTTATATTACTGACCGTGAGGTGTGGCTTCGACGTTAGCTGTTGGTCACACCATTCCCATCTAACTCGAGTAGGCCTCAAATCATTTCGACAGAGACCATCTACATTGGCGATCTTCAATACGATCAGAGTGACAGGAATGTAAACGGATGTTTCGCTGATTAGTTCCATCAAATTAATACCAGCTTCTACAATGAACTGATCCTGAAAACGATTGGGTACGCTTCAATCCACTTTATATCAATAAGTAGTGTGAATGTCTCACAAAAAGTGAAACAAACATGAATTTTAATATGATGAAAGTATCATAACACGATTCAATCGTAACCCCTGCCTCATAGTCATCAATTCGACTTAGTCAAAGTTAGTTTGTTTACATTTGAAACCGGTGAATCCGTGATATAAGATGATCATTATCCATTGTATTCAATGGATAACCTTCATAATCCCTACATGATTTACCTAAATCCATCAAAATATCGTTCGATCATTAAAATATCAGTCATTATTTCTGTATCATATTTAGTTTATTTAGAAATCATGGTGTGAAATTCATTTTGCTTATCGTTTTTAATTTTTCGCATTAGTGTATTTCAATGTATATATGTGATTTGTGATTATTACAGCTTTTTGGGACTCTTTATTGATTTGGAAATCATTCTAATGCCACGAGTACAATTTATTTTTCCATTGAATTATATACTATTGATATTCAATGTAAGTAGTTAGAAAAAACACTTGAAAATATTTACCATTATCATCATTATCTGAATTCATGTCGACAGTATATACTTAAATTGATTCCTTTTTTAATATAAAGACACATTCATTTATATGGGCTATTCTAATTCAAAACATTTAGAGTCAATACATATAAATGACCAAATGACTGGTTAACTGCATGATTTCATTTCATCCTAATTAGTTGAGTAACTGAAGAATATTTAGACTATCTCTTTTACCAGGTTCTAGAATTTCTAATGGTGATTTATATAAAGTTGATATCTTATTCGGGACACTTAAACGGTTTCATGGAATTGACTTTGTAGCTGATATTAGGTAGTTGGATGTACTCATAAGGAAAACTTGAACATACGTTTTGTAATGGTTGGCACCTATAAGTATTTATAAATAGTTGTCTACGCAACATACTCAATATCCATTGGCTGGATACCATCAGCAGCAGCGTACAGTGAAAGAGAACAAACCAGCTTCTAGCTGAACAGGAAATTAGGAAAAGACGATGGAAATGGGTAAGACATATATCACGAAAATCACCAAACTGCATGATGAGGCAAGCCCTAACTTGGAGTCGTGAAAGGAAGCGGAAAAGGGGAAGGCTAAAGAACACATTACGTCGGGAGATAGAAGCAGATATGGAAAGGATGAATAACAACTGGAAAGGATTGCTTAGGATAGGGTTGGATGGAGAGTGCTGGTAGGCGGCCTATGCTCCTCCACGAGGAGTGACGGGCGTAAATAAATAACGAAGTAATCAGTATACCACATTCATTTTGTTGACGAGTGTCTGCTAGTATAAAACTTAGTTATAGCACTTCCTGTTAGTTGCACACAATCATCAAAATATACTGGCTGCAACACTATACTTGGTCATTTAGACTAGTGGAAATATTGCAAATTGAATGAAATGCTTCAGTCAGCCACTTTCGAATTCACATTTCATACATCTATAATAAACTGACAGCTCAATTTGTTAATCAATGCTCGTTCGTAGCTTCGTTTCATACATTTGTCAAACAATATCGTTCAAATAAGTGTAGAGTAAAAACCAGTACAGTGAAAGATTTGAAAGTGACATTTTTCACTTTATTGTCGATTACTAATGTAGGGCCAGTGAAATGTTACTGAGCTCCAGCCGAATCATCTAGCAGTTGGGTTATTGAACATTGAAAAGATCATCGATCCCTGTCAAGGTCAAGGACGACCAATGCACATCTGTTAATTGTATGCCATCGACTGGTCCATGCATTGGTGGTCACACATCCACTTGTACCTATTTTAACCAATATATATTGCTATAATAACGTCTTTTGTGATGTATGGTCTTCAAAGCTTCCATAGTACCTTAATACGACCAAGAGTTAATCGACGTTAGATGCTGAACGCGATGTATGAATTCGATATTAACTGGTTGGTCACATTATTCTCGTGTAACTCGAGAAGGTGCCCAATCATTCAACTGAGATCATCAACGTTGATGATTTACACCATTCTGTCAAATAATACTACATTTAATTAAATAATGAGTGATTATTCAGTAGATAGATGGTCTGTCATGTTGATTCTCTATTTTATTTATTTGTTTTTATTCAATAGTCGATAATTCTTTCAATTCCAGTTTCAAGGCTACTATGTGAATTGCAAACGTTATGGATTCCATGTAGTTGGGTTATTACATTGGGAATTACATTGCTGACTATAATATTTGGCAAATTAATACGTTTCGATATACAAACATCATTGAATATATTCCTTACTGTTATATTCACTTTACAAGCAGTAGTTTATATTGCTATGATTATATTAAATTATTATGGTTACTTTGATGTAAGTAAGATAATTGTATAATTTAAACAATTAGAGAGGGGGAGGTTGTAGAGATTTTAGTAAATTAAGAGATGAATTCATGAGTCAGTTAAAGCTAGACCACCATGGAAGCACTGGATGCCCCAGTGATGATGCCGGCTAGAGATTAAGCATTCGTGCACGTGACTGATAGGCCCTGGATTCGAGTCCCTTTGGTGCGGGATTGTGGATACGCACTGCTGAGGAGTCCTATACTAGAACTTCCAGTGCTAGTGCTTCCAGGTTTTCCATGGTGGTCTAGCTTCAATTGACTCAGGAATTCAACTATTAAATTGCTAAAACCTCCACAAAACCCCCTTTTGATTATGATTAGGAATGAACAGATGTTTGAAAGGATAACTCTGTGGTATACTGATGATGCCGGCTCAGTGGTCAAGAGGTTATGCATTCGCGCACGCGATCTATAGATTAAAGGTCGTTTTGGTGCGGGATCGTGGGTGTGCATTGCTGAAGAGTCCCATACTAGGACGAAACGGTCTTCCAGGTTTTCCATGTTGCTCTTCAATTGACTCATGAATTCAACTATTGAATTCAAACAATCTTAATTGACTTCATTTATTGTGGATAAAGCAATAAGATATTGCCTTATGGAGTTGATTATCTAACAATTCGATATTAAAGACATTACACTCATTAGTTTTATATCTGTCGCTTTCTTTCCTATTCATGACAAATATCAATTTCATCCCTTTACAGTAAATTTTGTTGTTGATAAGCTAGCCATTGTAAATAGACGAATATCTTCATTATGTTTTCTAGCTACGACCTATTCCTGTATGTAAATGAGACTGATAATGAAGTGGTAGAATCAATACAATTAGAGTTGACCAAATTATGAACATATCAACGCATAAAGTACTGGATCACTAGTTAGATGCTCTTAGATTTACAGTGATTATTCAGTTAATGTTAGTCAGTAATGATTATTGTCACTGAATACTTTTCCTCACCTTACGCCTTTTACTCCCTATGGGGTATAGGCCTCCAATCAGCATCCTCCAAACCACTCTGTCCTGGGCCATTATTTCTAGTTCCATCCAATTGTTGTTCACTCTTCTCATGTCTGTCTCCGTTTCTCGCCATATTGTGTTCTTCGGTCTTCCTCATTTCTTTTCACCTCGAAGATTCTAAGTGATGGCTTGCCTTGTGACGTAGTTGGGTGCTTCCCTCAGTGTGTGCCCTATCCACTTCCAACACTTCTGTCTGATTTCTTCCTCCTCTGGAATCTGGTTTGTTCTCTCCCATAGTAGGTTGTTGCTAATAGTGTCTGACCAACCAATGGATCCGAAGTATTTCGCCTAGACAACTGTTAATAATTACTTGTATCTTCTGGATAATGGGTTTCGTAGTTCTCCATATTTCCACCCCATATATTAGAAGTGTTTTGACATTTGTATTGAAAATTCTGACTTTAGTGTTGGTCGACAGACAGTTGTTTTGAGTTCCAGATATTCTTCAGTTGTAGATGTGCTGCTGTTGTTTTGCTTATTCGCACATTTACATGTGTGTCAGATCTACCGTGTTCATCAATGATGCTGCCCAGATATATTGTCACTTAATAGTAAATCTAAATCTACACTTACTCATTCAGATATATAGTAATACTGATAATAATAATTATTATTATTACTATTGAATAGGTCATTCTGATTATTTCTGGATCAGGAATGCTATTGACAATCATTTATGTAAGTAATTAACAAATGTAATTTAAATGCTTGTTATCACTTGTTATGGTTGATATTAGCAATGTCATTGGTATAAACAATTGCAGATTGTTTATGGATCCACTGAATGGTTGTCTCAACTTCTCATTTAGTAACAATTTGATTATATTTCAGATAGAGTGTCTATTAATGAAACATAAAAGGTGTGATTCGTTATGTTTAGAGGTTATGAACAGTTTCAATATGAGTTCCATTAAGATGGAATATGTGCTCAAGATTTCACTACTAGAATCCATTCAAAGTATATTAAAGGTTTCTGTATTCTTCATAGCTTTATTCCTTGTTGAAGATTTATTACTTATCATGGTAAATTCTATACTTAGTATATTTAATCAAATATCACTACTGTTTTAAGCAGTTGTTCATTTTAGCATATACTAATCGAACTTCGCAGATGATCCGGTTCTTCTATCGCACACACGACAACAAATGAGAAAGAAGATGACCAGTGTAGCTGCAGCAGCCTCAACAGCAGTAGATCTCAACATACACAAACGGAAAAGCGAAATTCTCCGATACAACACAACACGCACCAATCGAATCACACTTGACGGAGAAGCTCTCGAGGATGTAAAAACCTTTTACATATCTGGACAGCATCATTGATGAACACGGTAGATCTGACACACATGTAAATGTGCGAATAAGCAAAACAACAGCAGCACATCTACAACTGAAGAATATCTGGAACTCAAAACAACTGTCTGTCGACCAACACTAAAGTCAGAATTTTCAATACAAATGTCAAAACACTTCTAATATATGGGGTGGAAACATGGAGAACTACGAAACCCATCATCTAGAAGATACAAGTAATTATTAACAGTTGTCTAGGCGAAATACTTCGGATCCATTGGTTGGTCAGACACTATTAGCAACAACCTACTATGGGAGAGAACAAACCAGATTCCAGAGGAGGAAGAAATCAGACAGAAGTGTTGGAAGTGGATAGGGCACACACTGAGGGAAGCACCCAACTACGTCACAAGGCAAGCCATCACTTAGAATCTTCGAGGTGAAAAGAAATGAGGAAGACCGAAGAACACAATATGGCGAGAAACGGAGACAGACATGAGAAGAGTGAACAACAATTGGATGGAACTAGAAATAATGGCCCAGGACAGAGTGGTTTGGAGGATGCTGATTGGAGGCCTATACCCCATAGGGAGTAACAGGCGTAAGTAACTAATTAATTACAGGAGAGTAACCGGTACTTTGTCATCGTATCGTTGGAGTCAATTTTTTAAGATCTACACTTACATGTGACTTAACACTGTGTTGCACTTTGATGAATGTTCTACTATTGAAACCCATATTTGTTCAAGGTTTTGGGTAAATGTGCAAGTGTAATTACATGAGGGTGCTCTTTAAATTTTACCCTGTAGATGCTATTCACAATCAAGTGATCTCAATTGGATTAACATTGAATATTATAGACTAATTGATAGTTATAACACGAACCAATTGTTATGGCCAATGTGTATGAATGAATGTTAGCTAGGTGTTTCTTTTAGTTGAGAATACTTCACGAGACTCAAAGCTCCAGAGTTCCATTCATGACATGTTAATGGATATGTACTTCTGAAAAGCTACATAAAAGAAACAATTTACTGTTTAATATATTTCATTATGATCAGTGTTATATCGACTGATGAGTATATGTGATAACTCCTACCCACACAATATTTTTACATGAATTACACAATTATTATATGAACTATATGTCATAATGAGTAGAAAGTAATTGTGTACTCTTATCTGATTTTCCGATGCACTGAAGGGAGGTTTAAGGAATGGGTAATTGGTGCGAAATATTGACCATTTGACAAATACAATGGTGAAGTAGGTGAGTTAATTGTTAAGGGGGAGGGTAATAAGAAAACATACATCTATTCTTAAATAACTCACTACAATTTCACAAAACGCTTTTGTATTAATCATTTTCATATTCTGAAGTTAGCAAACTGAAAATGCCACAAGTATTTGGAGTTTAACAACAACACTTTAACCAGTAACACCTATATTCGAAATGTGCCCCCACAGTGAAATCAGAAGTGAAGAGGTTCAGAAATATATTTGATAGACTATCAATGTATCGAGAACCGATTGATCTAGATTGGCTAGCGATTGTAAGGGATGTTGAGCACGGCGTTCCCACACGTGATCTGGTGCGGATGCATGACCGAATGCCTTCAGCTAGATGAGTTCAGTATCAAATATCGAGGACTTACAGAGCTATTGATTTGGGAACTTATTTACAGATACAAAACTAAAGAATAGATATTAACAGCCACCTGAACTATAATATTTTGTCCTAGTATGGGGCTCCTCAGTAGTGCACATCCACGATCCCGCCTACTGGGTTGGAACCCAGGACCTATCTGTTTTCCATGGTAGTCTAGCTTCTAATGACTCATGAATCCAACTATTAAAATCCCCACAACACCTCCCATCTGATTATTATATTTTGTGTTTACTCATTGCCGAGATTGAAAATCACAGTAACACACATAAGTTAAACGATGGTTACAGACATGGTTTTTAGATAATTGATGATGATATTAATAAAATTATGTAAACGTATTTCAGGAATTGGCAATTGCAACTCAAGCAATTTATCCAGGTGATAAACGATTCATATTTCGTGATAATCAATATTTTCTATGTGGATTAGTCCTTGCAACTATAATGATTTGGATGAATATGATTATTTCAAGTGAAATATTACTTATATACAATGTATTCAATAATACAAAACAATATATTTGAGAGAAACAAATGGATATATACCTATGACTTGTCTATACACATTCACTGTTCATTGTCTGAGTGTTTATAGTGTCGGTTGCTATGTTAAGCCCACAGATCTTATTCTAGCTTTCGGACAGACTAATCTATTCATTCATCTTTTGCTACATTTTGACTTTGTTAATTATTCACTTATCAAACTTGACTGTTTTTATATGAGCATATTTATGTGTGCTCTTCTTATCCTATTCATCCCATGTCTGTAGCTTATTGTTGTGTGACTATCATGAATAATGAACGCTTGAATAAATGGGAGGTGGCTCACATGCCTTCTCTACTGCGCGTCCTTTCGTTTAACTTCGCTACGTTTTTGAGTATCTGCTCAGATCAGTGATTGTACGAAATATATGTATTTAAGACATTCATTCTCGTATTTGGCTTACTTAATTCCGTTATTCACCGGCTTGACGCGTTTCGTCCATTTTGAGACTCGTCAGTGGCTAAGTGGATAATGTGATGGCATTTGAAGCGAACGGCACTACGTCCGAATCCCAGAGTGAATATCAACCCTGCGGTGTAGGTACACCCAGCTGACGAGTCCCAAATATGGGGAAACGCGCGTCCAGGATTCCACTATCAGCCGCTATCCACCTCTGCTTAAAAAGCTTGTGACTTAAAACAGTATCGAGGTAATCCTCACAGGATACATATACGCCAACAAGAGACTGTTCAATTGCAGTCCTAAATAACAATGGGAAGATACAAGTAAATCAACACCAAGTGAATTTGTCTTTAAGTTATGTTTCCATTGCTGTGTATACGAAGTTGAACTGTTTCGTTTTATGCTGCTTGTTCTACCATAAATATAAAGTTCTCACACAATTTGTCTCTACCCTGTGTTATGCGCTAGTTCTTGTTATTGATTTACACAGAAGAACCGGTTGTATTGCAGTGAACGAGAACATAAGTGGGAACAATCAAATGTACTTGAATACACAATTATAAGATTTCTTAGTAAAATCTGAGAACCATACAGTAAATACTTTATTTGCAAAATGTCAGACCTTATTGTGACTTTGTTTCCACAACAATCCTTCACTGTTCTCGTTTCTTAAATCTTCTGCTGCCAGACATTTCATTTTCGATTGATGACACATACTACTACTTATATCTATCGACATCAGTAGTACACATCACAGTATTAGAGTAGCTCAACTGTTCCTAATTTCGCATGTATTATAACTCAAAATATTAAAACTTAACAGAAACTATACAAATTCTATGTGTCTAAATTAGTTATTTGTTATATTACTTTTATTTCCAAAACGAAACTGATTAATCAAGTTTATACTTCTCCAATATTTCAATTAGGTATGCTGAGTAGTCTACAGTTGTAATACAGTTATATTGATTTACGTTACGCCTTCAAACAAACACCTACTTTTTCTCTTGATCTCAGTGAATTCAATACATGGGAATTAATTAGTTAGAGATAAGTTTCTTAAATAAATCCCTATTCTGTCACACACACACAGTCTTAGTCAAAACCAGCAAGTATAATCTGTTTCTAACAAATAATTTAATGGAATGTGGTGTTTGTATGAACTAATGATTCCTTTGTACTTGATTGACTACTGATTCCATATAGAATACGTTCTTTTGTAATCATCTAGTTGTATATCCCTTAAATTGCACTATTTCTGAAATTCCCAGTTAGTATATTCATTCGAATACTTCTAATCATTATATTGGTGTTGCGATGGCGTTGGATATTGATTCAAGTAGGGATGACTTTGAGGACTATATATGGAGCAGTTCGAAATTTGCTGCATGACTAGGAAACAGATTAAAGATGATAAATTCACATTTTATTTCTTGACGTTCGTAGACAAAGAAGCTAATAACCTGCTAAAGAATCTGAGTTTTTTCAGAGAAACTGATTGCATTGTCATATGAATCTTCCAAGAAATTACTTCTTAGTCATGTGCAGTGTGCTAGCTTGGAATGAAGAGAGAGAGACCAAAGTTTCATAAAATGATGAGAAAGTTAAAGACTTTATCACTCAAACTACAGAAACAGACCAAGAAGTGGAATTTTAGAGACTAATAAAAAACTCAACTTCGTGATCGGTCGATTGCTGGTATAATTGTTCCGAATTTAAAAAAAAGAATTAATTCAGAAGCTTAAAAGTTCATTTCAAGAAATTGAAACAGCCTATACTAACTATTTTCAGTCAGTGGAAATTTCTAATACTTTGCTTATTCGTCGTGATAAACTACACTCTCGGCGTTGTTCAAAATTGCGTTTGTTTAATAATGGTTCTTATTCTCGTGGAAATATGTAAAGTGAGTCAACAAGAAATTTTAAAACTGATCATAGATGTGAGCACAAGTTTGGTAAATATTTGTTCTGTGACGAATTTCATTCATGTAATTCATGTGTATTTCGTTATGCTATATGCATTAAATGTGGTAAAATTGGACACAATCAGTCAGTTTGCAAAACTACTATACATCTCACCGCATGTAACATTAATCTTTGTAGTTCCGATCCTATGAAGTTGAATGTTTCTAATGATCCACGTTTTCGAAAGCTAATATCTATATTCAGAGGCGATTATATACTTCCTTTGGTTCATTCCATGCTTTATTATTGACATATGGATACGAAGTACCCACCTAGGGGAGTTGGAAAACCCTCATTCCAAACCAATGGTGTACATGGACTTCAGGATCCTGAAGAAACAAATAATGTATGGACCAAATATTGGTCGCCAGCTAACATGGGAATGCATCTCCTAACGTTGCTCCACTGCCTTGTGGATCAGATATTTAGATCGAAGTCTCCAGGTGTGGACCCCTAAGGAAACCATCTGCTTCGTTTTGCGCTCCCGGGCAGTATCACAACCCTCACACAAATCAAGTGACTTCTGTGGCGCATATCTGTTTTGTGTCTCCTTGTACAAATGTTTGTGTTTAAATAAATAAATAATCAGTGTAAACTAATAAGTCTTCCAATTGGACGCTTGACCAGGTTTACTAAGTTATTCTAGTAACCTTCAGGCTAAAACAACACGGCAACTTCAACACGAGAGAAAAAGCGCCAAATATAGAAGGGCGCTTTACTCTAAAGTTAGTTTATGTACAGAAAACCAACGGTATTTATAGCATTTTAGATGGCCTTGAGCTTCTGGAACTCTTCTGAACATAGTAGTAGGACAGATAATCATCGGCGAGACTATAGTTTATAGACGAACCAGCCAGATTTACGATAACAGGTCTTAAATTTTGGCGCGATATTCATTCACACATTTGGCTAAAGTCTTGGCATTATAGCTGATGTCAGTTCGTGAAGAAAACTCCAAGCCTAATTCCTAACATTCAACTGTAAATCATATTCCTTATCGTTCAAACTAATGTAACCCTCATTTAACCTTGGTAAATAGGTAGACACTCTCAAGGTCACTTTAGCGTCCCTCAAAGGTCGTCCATAAATTATAGTCTCACCTAATCATCCAGTCAGAAATGTGACTACTCACTTTACAGGTGTTTCTGCGAAACTTCTATTGAATGCTGATTGAATAAGAGTTTATCAGCGTTGTCAGGGTCCCTTTAAGTTTTTTTCGAGGAATTTTCTGGGTCCATCCAACAGAAACGAATGCTTTCAGATATAAAAATCACTGTTAAAACTAAGTACGTTCAAACTAGTAATTTTTATGTCTTAGGAATTCAACATGAGTTGAGTTACAACTTGCGTGAGGCACCTGAACTTAACATTACTTATACAGGTTATAGTAGCTCATGTGCAATTGAGTTTGTTCATATTTAATTTGATTAAGCCCTTTTGTTAACTTACTTAACGGACAGAGTCATCCGTACAATGACAACTTATCTATACCATTGTATGAATATGTATGATTGAACACTACTTACTCCTTAGGTGTATATTCATTCTGCTAGCCTTATTATTAGTTGCTTAATTGATTCGATGATCCATTCAATTCACTATGTATATATATGTGCATTTTTATCATGGTCATCGACTCACCTGCCTGCTGTTTTTCGGCTCTGAACATCATCATCACAAACTTTACAATAGAACTCATTTGAAGCATACTTTGATAGTAAGTCAAACTAAATAAGACTAGTCATATTGAACACTTCACAAAAGTCTCATATTTTCTTCACCATCAATCTAGATTGTCTCATTCTCAATTTAGTTTGTATGACAAGGGTGTTACAAGAAAGTGTATAGTTTATTAAAAGATTTAATTTTAAACAATCTATGGACAAAAGTTCAATAGTTTATGTCAAATGAGGAAGACCAATTTATTATCACAGTGGTTTAAATAAGATATGAAAATCATACTTCAAATACATCATTTGCACATCTTCCATCAAGAGTCTCTCGAACACTTTATTATTCTTTCATTCCTGTTGTTATCTTGATTACTTTGAGTTTCTATCTGTTTTCTCTTCATTTCCATCTTCTCAACCTTCTAGTTACAAAAAGTTCACTCCAAACTAGTGTAACATACTACTTATATCTGCAAGTATAAGTAGCATATGTCACACTACCATTACTTCATTGAAATATCTAACATAGATAATAATTTATATCAGTCAGTCAGCTACAATGTAGGGCCAGACACATTTATACATCGGTCCAAGTTGCCACACCTCCCTATCCTTAGTTCAGGTATTGACACAGGCCAGTCCTAGAGCATTTAGAGGGGGAGAAGCACATCCCAAACATCCTGACATTGTTGCTCAGTGCTATCAAAAGATTCTGTCTTTTATCAGCGTCTTCATCAAACAGGACTATATCATTTGCGTATTCTATGTCGATAAGCGGACCTCCTTGTAGGAGATCAATACCCAATAATTCAGTCGACCGGGGCGTTATTTCCACCAGTAGGTTTATGATTAATTTAAACAAGTACTTAGCGAGACTATAATTTATGGACGAACCAATCAGATACAATATAACAGATTTTTGATTTCGGAACGAAATTTACTTATCCATTTGGTTAAATAGAGTTTTAACATGATAGCTAATTTCAGTTCGTGATGAAAACCCTAAATCTAATTCCTAACCTTAACCACCAACTGTAAATCATAATTCGAATTCCTCGCATAGGTTTATAACCCTCATTAGGTTCTAGTTATTAGGTGAACACTCTCAAGATCAGTCTAGCGTCGCTCAAAGATCGTGCATAAATTATAGTGTCACCATATACTTTTGAGGTACACCTTTCAATGACAGACACTGTCACAGAACCTGTTATATCCGATCGAAGAATAAATCAGTAGCAACGTCTAAGACTTATTAATGGACTATTATTATTTATACATATTCTCATGGTATAAATATTTAGTAACTAGATTATGTATATCTATATTCCCATTGTTATAAGCTTTATTTTAATCTATATGTTATTATTGTACGATTTATGGTTCTTAAGCTATGTTCAGTTTATTGACTACGGCCTCCCACGTTCACAGCCACTTTTTGGCTTTATTGTGTATGAATGTTATTTCCTATTTTATGGTACGTTGCGGTCTGTTTGGTTGATATATTAAACCCAGTATGTCTGAAATAAATGATTCGATTCGCATAGTGGAAGCTGGTATTGGTGTTCTGGACTCAAGTGGACGAGTTAGGCAGAGATAGGACCAATAAGGACGCAAGACTGCCCATACCGGTCGAACGTCATTGATTTTGGCACAGTGAGAAGATTTTATAAGTCGTATTTTGACTGGTGGATAAATCACGTGATAAGTAGCCGGATATAAAGTCATAACAGAACCTCTTGGTCAACAAAGTTAAGAAAGATCATCATCGTCAGACGCCAATAAACAATAAACTGTATTCTAAAGCTTGACAAATAGTGAGAATATATGATCGATGCAGACGCAACTATGTCTAAAGCCAGTCTGATTTTCTCATGTTTTCATATGAAAAATTAAATTTTAACAAATTAACCTGTAGAAATACATTTACAAATCACTGATATCTTTATTATTATGATGATAATGATTGCCAATTAATTTACAAATGAAGTAATAAAAAAAAGGGATGATCATGATTATCATGGTGATAATGAGGATGATGATATTCTTGTCTCTCTTTCTATCTATCTATCTATCTATCTATCTATCTTAGTAGATTCAATTAGATTAAAATTAGGAAACGTTAAAATCATCAATGATTTGAAACGAAAAAAAAAGAAGAAAAAATAAAGAAAAAAAATAAAAACAAAAAAGGTGTAAATTAGAAAAGAAAATCTATTTAAAGCATAAATAAAAATATAGTGGATCTCTTTCTTTCTCTCTGTCTTTAATGGAATTATATTCCTTATCAAGTTTCTATATTCGATATATTCATATTAGTTGGATAACAATCAACTAATGGCATAATTGTAAGATATGCATCAAGATTTTGCCATAATAATGTATAACTAACATGAAAGCTAAGAAGAAAAGAAGAGAATGAGTGAATAAATGATAAATAGGTTGTTGTTTGTTTTTTTATAATTAAAATCGAATTAATTGTTGTATGTGTTAAATCTTAGTGAAGAATAAATGATGGGTAACTTTTGAGAACTATTCATGAACTAATCAGTCAGTCAGTCAGTAACAACGTAGAACTTCGTACGTACGTACATCAGTTCGAGTTGCCATACCACATTAGCACAGAAATGCAGTTGTCGATTCAGATCCCGTAGTGGTAGAGGTAGCAAGAGTATAAACAGTAATCGGGAAGATTAGGGTTTGGAGATGTTATTTAAAGAGTATAATCCAGTGAAATAAATTTGGAAAGAGGAAAAAAAGGGACATGAAGAATTCAGAAGATTAGAATTTGGGAGAACACAAAGATTGGATGCACCTGCGCCATTGCAAACGATTTTGAGCCATGTCATTCAGGGTCTCTAACCATCGGTTGCTATCATCTCGTGGTCCCCAACCAGGTAGTCTACACCTACCATCATGACTCAGTCCACTTGTCAGTGACTTCATGGACTTGTGCCATGTTTTGGTTTGGCCGCCTCTAGCTTTCTTCCAACCTACTCCTATACCACTGAATATAGATTCATGAACTAATATTGTTATTGTATAACTATTCAGTAACTAGATTATGTATATCTATATTCCTTTTATTATAAGCTTTATTTTGATCTATAGATTATTATGATACGATTGACTGTTCTTAAGTTATATTCACCCCCGAATGCTCTGGTACAGTCGAGAGTGGGGAGAGTCAGCTCTCCTTCTTCAAATGCTCTCACATGCTTACGCGTATACAACCACTGGCAGAGAAGTCCTACTCACTACCTTCCCGCGGTCGGGGTGCTGTTTAAGAAATTAAGAGGACGAAAAGCAAATGTTCGGTGCTTTAACCGAGTTGGTGCACACGGAGAGTCCACCTACGGGAGTTGGAAAACCCTCATTCTAAACCAATGGTGTATATGGGCTAGCTCCAGAATCCTGATGGAACAAATGGCGTATGAACAAACTATTGGGACTGCATCTCCTGATGTTGCTCCACTGCTTTGTGGATTAGACCTTTCGGTCAAATACTCCGGGTGTGGCCTCCTAAGAAAACTACCTGCTTCAATTCGGGCACCCGGTCAGTATCCCAGCCCTCCCATAAATCGAATGATTTATGTGGCACATCTATTTGTTGCCTCCTTGTACTAATGTTTATGTGTTTAAATCATAAATGACAATAATAATAATAATAATAATAATAATAATAGAATTTATACTCAGTTTATTGATGATTACAGTCTCCCGTGATCAAAGCCACTTTTCGGCTTGATCTTGTATAAATGTCATTTTATATTTTATGGTGTGATGCGGTCTGTTTGACTGGCATATAAACTAAGTATGTTTGAAATAAATAATTCGCACAGTAGCTGTTATTGGTATTCTGGACTCAGTTGGAAAGTCTAGGCGAACAAAGGACCAATAAAGACGTTAGGCTGCTCATACCGGTCGAGCATTATTGGTTTAGTACAGTATAAGATTAAATAAGTCGTATTTCGATTAGCGAATAAATCGCGTGTTAATTAGCCGGGATTAAAGTCACAATAGTAAGGCACAGAATCGAGCAAAGTGGCGTAGCTGACTGACTGATAACTCCAGTTTCTACATTCATACCACGCTTTCTCCGTATATATATATATATATATATATATATATAAAGTCACTACTCACGCTTGCTTCATGGTCTTGTTGATTGTACTAAGTATTACTATATCATTTATTGTATAAATCTTTCTCATATGTATCAATAATAGCCCCCAAATGCCCTGGTACGGCCGAGAGTGGGGAGAGTCCGCTCTCCCTCTCGAAATACTCTCACACGGCCACGCGTATACAGCCTCTGCCAGGGAATTCCTACTCACTGCCTTCTCGTAGCATTACTGTTGTTTACGAAAATGAGAGGACGGAAAGCGAATGTCCGGCGCCTTAACCGGATCCCAAACAAAATCAATGGTGCACATGGGGTCCAGTATCCTGCGGGAACAAATAGCGTATGAATCAATCGTTGGTGACCGGCTATCATGGGACTGCATCTCCTTACGATGCTCCACTGCCTTGTGGGTCAGACCTTTAGGTCAAAGGCTCGGAGTGTGGCCCCCTAAGATAACCACCTGCTTCGGTCTGGGCACCCGGGCAGTATCACAGCCCCCCCACACACACACACACACAAATATGGTGTGGCGCATATATATTTGGTGCCTCCTTGTACCAATATTTATGTGTTGAAATAAATAAATAGACCGACGATTAGCATTCTCCAACCCACTCACACATATATACTTGTTAAGATTTTTCGAAATGTATTACACTAATCTATTATCACATTAGTTCCAATAATCTTCATCTTCTTAATACATCTATCGAAATTTATCAAATGGGATTAATTACTTTAAATAAAATAAAGAATTACATATTGTATTATAATATAATAATATACCATATCAATACTTACGTAAAAGTTACGTATATATCATGGAAGTAAGGTAATTTCATAAGACATAATTTACTGAAAATAAATAAATATAAATAGATTTATAAAAATCAGTTACAAGTTTGAATTATGTACTTTAACTGTTACACAAGAGAAGTGAAGTTTTGAAACTGTTGTGTTATAATTTAACGACATTATTCTTCAATCTCAGCTATATTCTTATTAGAGTAAGATATTTGGTTTTGTAAATATTTCAGTTATTTAGATTTAATATTTGATAGATGAATGTACTAACTATGGTTATCAGTATAGCCTATCACATGAATTTTATTTATTAATTTGAATACATAAATATTGGTACAAAGGGGCACCGAATACATATGCGCCACATAAATCATTCGATTTGTGTGACGGCTGGGATATTGCTCGGGTGTCCAGAATGAAGCAAGTGGTGTTCTTAGGGGGCCACATCTGGAGCCTTTGACCTAAAGGTTTAATCCACAAGGCAGTGGAGCAACGTCAGGAGATACAGTCCCATGATAGTCGGTGACCAACGATTGGTTCATAAATTATTTGTTCCTTCAGGATAGGATCCTGAAGCCCATGTACACCATTGATTTGGAATTTGGGTTTTCCAACTTCCCTAGTTGGATCCTCCGTGTCCACCAACCCGGTTAAAGAGCCGAACATTTGCTTTTCTTCTTAATTTCGCAAACAACACCACCGTCACGAGAAGGCAGTGAGTAGGGCTTCCCTGGCAGTGGCTGTATACACGTGGTCATGTGAGAGCATTTGAAGAAGGAGAGCTGACTCTCCCCACTCTCGACTGTACCAAGGCATTTGGGGGCTACCAAGACAATGTGATTTTTCTAGTGAATATTTGTCTTCCAAAATTGCGTTAGTATACAATATTTCTCACTGCTGTTTAGGATAACGTATATGTTAAAAAGCAATAAACTGTGATTAAGCCATGAATCAAACTAATACGAGACAAGAACACTGTCATGAAACCTTTGGGAATATAATAAAATGTGTTCTGCCCGTGGATAACGTTCAAACAACTAAAACTTATCCAGCATTGTGTCAAGTGAAGTGATTTGTTAGCTTCTTTACACTTTGAACTGATCTAGTAACAGTTCTTGATGAATAAAGTGTGATATATGGAGATAAACAGAACAGTTAGACAAGTATTTTTAAACTAAACACAACTTTCATCATATCAATCATACTATAAATATTAAAAAATCTCTTTTAATCTTAATATGTACAATACACTACATACAGTAAACTTTGAATGAATGACGGGAGCTAAAAGTTACATGCTTAGTTGGGGGTTACTCCTACAATATTTTACGAGTTTGAAAAGAGAGAGCTTAAGATTTTCAGGAGACAGATCCAAAGTTGAATGATAGAATGAAGTATAATCTATTACATTGGGACTATACACATGTATTTTGGCAATACAGTATGGACATGAACATAAGCATTAAGGTTAAGTAAGGGAAATGGTAAGGATGTTGATGCTCGGAAACAGTTGAAAAGAAACATATTGTCTCAAAACTTCAATTGATAGATTTAAGTAGTCGAATTTCGCTCAGTGAATGGAATTTTGTCGTAGTGTGAAGATGATCAAAGTAAATAAGTCCCGGCTTCTACGTTGTGATTGACTGGCTAACTGACTTTACTTCCTATCACTAGTACAGGCGTTAGCTCAAACAAGTTTTGGACCAACATTTTGCACTTAAAGAGGGAGACACATCCCAAATATGTTCGGATTGTTGCTTATGGTAGATCAGAAGACTCTGAATTTTGTCAGCATCCTCACCAAACAGAACTATATGATTTGCACATTCTAGGTCAGCAAGTGGATTTCCTGGTAGATCAACCACTGAAAAGCCAGATGATGAAAGTGTTGTATTTAAAAGCCTGTCTATGACAAAGTTAAATAAAAATGGGTAAGTTGGAAAACCTTGGGGAACACCACTTGAAAAAATCAACACCGATGACAATACACTATATGTTCGAACAGAGAGCCAGTATAAGGCTAATATACATCTTTAGTACATATTTCAATGAAAGACACTGGCACAGAACATTACGAACAAAGTCTAACTCCCCACTAAGGTCAGGGAATACAACTATTATCATACGTCGAAAGTAAGTCTATGTTCCAGAACCTGCCGAGGGCTGAATATCCGTTCAATACATCTACGTAAACGTCTGAAACCAGCCTAGTTTCCTCGGATCCGCTCTTCCCGAACCCTCGTTACGCGTCCAAGTATTATTAAGGTTAATATTTCAGATAACATTATCAAAGTTGGATTCACGAGTCAATATACGTTAAGTAAACATTTTAAACCTGGAGGAACTGGACGGTTATTTCGTCCTGGCGTGGGACTCCTCAGCAGAGTGTATCCACGACCCCTCACGCGGGAATCAAACCTGCGACCTTCAGTCAAATGACTAGCCTCTGAGCCACTGAGCCGGTATACAACAGTGTCAGTGTTTAACTTCAACCTCTCCATGATTTTGCGCAACCCTTCATTCAGCGCCTGAGGTGGTTAACTGTCTCATATTCGACGAAAATTGGAGTCTACTGATCACGGCTTCACATTAGAACTCCAGGAAATTTATCTTGAAGTCAGTTACTAGTTTACATATTATTATTATTATTATCAGAATGGGGGTTTGTGCAAATTGTATTATTTTCAAAGTTGAATTAACGAATCAAAGCTAAGATATTACTTAAGACTACTGCTATTGTGGTAATATTTTTAAAAATAAAATCAATGAAACGGTACGAAGAAAAACGGACTTTCGTTTTTTTTTTTGTTTTCATTATTTGAATAAACACACAAAATTTATTAAACCAACATTTTAGTAGATACATGGTTAAATTGTAGGCTTAGGCATAACATGTAGATATCCCCGTTTGAATAACCGGTTGTGCCCATTTGACGTTTTTGGTTACCTGTGCAGAAGTATCGTTGTTACTTGTCAATTCTGTGATTGTTTTGTCAGGTTAACGGACCAATAACACGTATTGTGGTCCATTATCAAGATAAGTCGGTTTTGGCCTACCAATGCTTACTGAGTCGATGTTTCCCTGTTTCTGTACAAAGAAATACTTAGGTTTTCTTGAGATAACTTTTTATGGACCTTCGAATGGAGGACTAAGTGGTGTTTTTACTTCGTCATAACTTATCCAGACGTGTGTGCAATTGTTTAGGACCTTGGGTACATATGTCGATCGCGATTGTTCAAGAGTACTAATTGGTTTAAGCTCGGACATTTGGTACCGTAGTTGGTCAACGTAACTTTCTAAATAAAGCTTTTTACTGTCAGTAAGCAGATTGATAAGATCACCCGGTAGTCCTAGAGTCGTCCCGTAGATTGGTTCCAATACGTGTTATTAGTCCGTTAACCTGACAAAACAATCACAGAATTGACAAGTAACAACGATACTTCTGCACAGGTAACCAAAAACGTCAAATGGGCACAACCGGTTATTCAAACGGGGATATCTACATGTTATGCCTAAGCCTACAATTTAACCATGTATCTACTAAAATGTTGGTTTAATAAATTTTGTGTGTTTATTCAAATAATGAAAACAAAAAAAAAACGAAAGTCCGTTTTTCTTCGTACCGTTTCATTGATTTTATTTTTAAAAATATTACCACAATAGCAGTAGTCTTAAGTAATATCTTAGCTTTGATTCGTTAATTCAACTTTGAAAATAATACAGTCTCCACAAATCTCCAAAATAGATACCATATTAGTCAAACTAATTCCTCAGCGATCGTCACAAGGGAATTGTTGTTATTCTTTACAGACTGGGACGATCAGCAATCTAGACTAGTGAAATGGAATTACGTTCAGTTCTCAGATTCTAATGATGTAAGTTGATATAACTGCTAAAACTGGACCACCATATTTAAAAATCTCTGATTTATGCAAATATTCGTCAATATTTGGGCGAGTAGTATGACAGAAATTGGACGTCGAGTAATAATAATAAATAATGTCCTTCTCTAGTTGTTCCTAAAATATGTTCTTACGTTCCTCATCATTATGTCGAGCTCGAGGAGTTTTGCATACTGCGATTTTTCTACGTCCAGTAAGATACAGAGAAATAAGTGCTCAAACTAGAGCATGACCCGATTCTAAACATCTGCTCCAGAATGAGCGATAGTCTTCTATCGTCTCCCAAACAATGCTCGATGGCAATGTGGTCTATTTGATTTAATCAATGTGTCCATTGTGTGAGTCACCATGTCAAACGATGTTTATCTTTATGCCTAGAGATAGACGGTCATCAGAGCATAGTTGGCACTATATGTTTGTTGACCGATGACATCGTAAAATACACTTGAACGCTTTTCAGTTTGGTTTAGTTTACTTACTTAGGTATTAAAATCACCCATTATTACATCAGGAAGTTTAGCTTCCTTAAGGCCGGAAATTTTCCTGTAAAATTCATCTTTTATTTCATTGGAATTGTAATCAGTGAGTTTAGGTAGAGGCAACGATGTGTACTCATCTTTTAGAGTTTTCACTTTCCTATTGAATCGGGTAGTGCAAAAGCGATTGTCTATTGGGATTCAGTCTAAGAAATTATATTCTACTTTCGAAATAAATGCTACACCAACAACAGCGGGAAGTATCAACGGGGTCCCCAGACACAAAAAGAGTAAATCGATCCGGTTCTTTATATTGATAAGGTGAGTTCGAATGGGCGACCGCACTTGGATCTCGCATGAGCGTTTCAAAGACGCAGAATACATCAATGGCACTAGATTTTATTCCCGGCTAAGGTAGCCCGTTGTTCTGTCAGACAAGGTTAAAACATTAACAACTCCAACATGTCTAGATTGTGGCTTCAGGAGGCCAGGAATAACATTTCGTAAGCTCAAACCACCAGCATTGGTGGCGCGTTATGATAGGGATATGCGAAAAGGGTTGTCCATAAAGATGGGAGAATTAGTAATGGATGAGGGGAGACTTGGTGGTGAACAAAGTGACCTTGGATGTTGTTAGAGGCATGGGGACGGTTTTCACCTTTTGCCTGTCCAAATATTAGTGGATATTTCTTCTTGATATGCTTGAATAAGAGTCTGGGTTAGTAATAGTTTTAGCGATCTGAGGGCTTGACCACAGAGCCTAAGAGATAACTGTTTGAGGCCGGCCGCTCACGGCGTTTTTATGGGAAGTGTTTAATGAGTTAGCCCAGCGCCTTGAAACCTATCGCCGGAGACAGAACTCCGTAGGAACAGGCGAGGTTGTTCGAGGGAAACGCTCTACTATTTTGACACCTCTCTACAGTCAGTAGAACCTGTCGTAGAACATTAAGTCGTTACTTTTAGTTTTACTGCACCCCAACTGATCAACCTGAAGTGGTAGGACCTAAAGGAAGATATGTTCCAGCCAGCATCACTCAGCTGAGTCATCACAATAAGCAAGCCCCACCACCACACCAAGTTGGGAGATACAGTCAAGTGATCAAAGTAGTTAAGAACAACGAATATGAAGGATGATAAAACATACGGTTTGCTGTATTAAACCCGTAGTATTCACTAGATTAAGTAGAGTGAAGCACTGTCGCAAAGAGTGGGCATAATGGATAACAGGGTTGCAAAGCATAAGCCAAACCACATTCGAAGCGTAACCCTTGTTAAACAACACTGTCACACGAAGTTTCAGTGGAATCAGCTGTGAAGTAGACACAATTATACATGAATTTGTTTACTGAAATTAACTAAATCTTGTTCCTTTCCCTGCCCATCTATTTTTAAATACCGATCGTAACTAAATCTGTAGTATATGAAATGGATCCAGATGAAAAATAACTACCAACTTACATTACATCGAAATGTTTATGCTCAAAGAGTAACTTCGTTGTCACATTCAGTAAAGTTTCGGAGCGAAGCGGTAGCATCTGAATAGAATTGTTAACAGTCTCCTGTAGATCCACTGAACGGTATTTTGGAGATACAATTATTTTAGTTATTGTGGTTGGAACAAAGTTAGGATTTGATACATTAATTTGGTTCTACGTGGTACTCACAAGTTATGAAAAATGAACATACAATCACTGTGAGATCTATCAAATTATCTTGCATGTTGGCAATGGCACTTATCGTAATTAACTTGTACGCTGAACTTCTCAAAGAGATTGTTCGCGGAAAGAGAAATACCAATAAAAGTGTAAATACTAAGGAGCAGATCACTACAGACCCAAAAAGTTTAAGGCATATTCTACGCGGCCGAAGACGTCGGTCTGTCAGAGGGATTAAAGCCACATACTCTGCTCTGGAATCTGACAAATTTTTACACAATTTGCGTATAAAATACCTTTACGCACGTAGCCTGCTCCGGAACATGTTGGGCAAGCAACTTGAGGTGATATTACTTCATAACTTGGCATTCCAACTGACCTTGAAGCTTTCAAGCAACCTCCAACTTCAATACCCAATATCTTCGATACGTGCGTACATATACTAACTGGTTTCTCTGTGGTCACTTCATGTTGATTCGGTATGATTCCACGTTTTTGATAATCCTCGATGAGGGGTTATTCAGCTACTCAAATGCTCTAGTTCTAGTCCGCTGGATGGTAAACTTCAGGTCCCAGTATCCCGTGAAATAGTAAAATAGATCGTAGACCGAAACCTTGACTATGTTATGCTTCAACAAAGACCTTGATGATCGCTTCGTTTCAGGCAATAGGTCATCACTTCCGATCTTGGGTGATCTGTACCTTTACTCGTTAACTAAATGGCCCTCCAACTTCCAAGAATTCTCAAATCCCTCATTTGCTTCACTAAATACAGGTATAAACTCCCATGCTACACGGCCTACAAGCACTCTGCGTTTCACACGGTCTACGAAGAGCTATGCAAAGTTATTTGTTGCCAGCCTAAGTAACAGACCTTTGACAACAACGTAACTGAAAATAACGTCAGCATCAACTATGTGAACGTCATCTGTCTAAAAAGCAATCTTTTTGTAAAATCCATTTTGGTTTGTCGTCGCAAAAATACAGGAAAAATCATATTTCTCCTTATTAGTACTATCTCAGTATTTCGTTGTGCTTATTGCTGCTCCTATGACTTTTGTCATTTCGCATATGTGCTTCTTTTTTGTATTTGGCTACAATCATTGATAGTATATTGTTTACAGAATAGAGATTTGCGGAGATTGTAGCAATTTATCATGGTTGAATTCATAACTCGACTAAGAATTGTTTATAAATTCCAACACTTCGTTAATTATCTGATATTGTTGTGTCTTTTGAGAACTGTTTATCATTGTTTTACTTGACATCATTTTATGTCGGATACCACATCGGCAATCTATACTTTGGCTATTACATCTGATGCATGTTGCCAATATTAAAAGCGCATCCGCTGCTTGATTTGAGAACTTGCTCTACAAAAGACTTGGAATTAACTACATTTTTTTTATCCAACTCTTGTTTTCTTGTTGATCGATCATCTTTGGGGCTGATTGAGCAGACCATTCCTTGGGTAGGATATTGTTTCTCGCCTAATAGGAATGTTCCCTTTATGGTGATAAGTGGTATTTGGAAAAATCCTGTTACAGTTGGGAAGTGCTATTCGGGCAGTATTAGATTTGTTTTTTCTTACATTTTTCTAATAGTACCTTCCTCACCATTTTGGACGTCTCTCACTTTTTATGGAAAGTTGTGTATTACCGCCTTCTGAATTACTAAACTTGAAGGAACGTAACTATGGCAATAACAACGAGACAGACACTGTGGTAGTAATCCATTGCTAGGTTCATCATACTTCTCTGTCAGACTCGCCACTTTGCCACAAAACAGCAATCCTGCATCAAACATTTCAGTGAAGTCTTTAGGCAAACAACTTCAGCAATGAAACTGTTGGCAAATCGCAAAATTAACGCATTCAAGTAGAATCATGGGCTTCTATCGGAAGTGTAGTGTGGTGCCGACCATAGTGTATGCACGTGACCATGTGAGAGCATTTACAGAGGGGGAGCTGACTCTCCCCACTCTCGGCCGTACCAGAGCATTTAGAGGCGGATAAGAATTTATGTCACACCGAATGTTGAGGACGTTAGCTAATAAATGTCAACTTACTGGCTTATTGATATGAAAATTTGAAGTTCCATAATACACTTCGTTGAGTGTATTCAAAATAGAAGGGGCTCCCTGTACAACTTATCCTGGTTTTCAGTGACATGATCACAATTATCTTCAATGGATACAAAAATCTCAGCAGAATCACATAAACATTTTCAAGTAACGAATTTGTTTAATATTTGAAGTCCATATGAAATGATTAATTGATTTACACTTATCTCTCTTGGTAATAAACAGTGATTAATGGTTAATCACCACCAGATACTGGTTTATAAATTATCAACCAGATCATGAATCATTTTTCATGGCTTTTCTACATTTTTTTTGTTCCGAGACATTTGAATACTGAACGACTGAGCAGACAAATAATGTGAACTTAACTGCTCGAATTACAGTCTATTCTGAAAGAGGTCTTAAGCATTGAAAACATTTTAGGAAAAATATTGTATTCAGCAATTCTTCTTGTGACGATTTATTCAAATTTAGATGAAAATAAACAACTCTAAGTATTAATAAAGATATGTAACTCTAGTTGAGAATTTTTTAAATGTTACTTTATCTATAAGGAAAGATGGATTGTGACTAGCAATGGAATCCAGTTTGATGTGCGTTCTCGTCCTATTTAGGACTTATCAGCTGAATGTACCTGCATCTCAAAGTTCATGTTCACTCAGTAAGAGATTGATCAATTGCAGTCCTTATCATTAATGAGAAGATTCAAGTAAACAATAGCAAACGAATTTGTTGCCCTATCTACTCTAAATGATCCAACTGTAAAGTATACACTACTTTTATTTTCAACTAAAACCATCAATAAAAAAAACTTTATAATGAAGTCACATATTACCATTCAACAATCCTTCAAGGTTACTGATTGGTTTTAAATCATTTTGATGGCGTTTTGTTCTCTGAGCTGGATGGTTTGGTCGTAGAACTTTCATCGTTCTTCTAAACGCCATCATCAGCACAAACTTTAAGTATAAGTGAAGTATTCAAATTTCTCCACATATAGCTCACAGCTTGTCCTATAGACTTCGATGTTGATTTGTTATTGTTGACTTTAAACCTGTCATTGTTTACTTCTTTGTTTTGGTTGTATCTCCCATTGGTTTAATTTTTGTTACTATGTTTGTGTATACTTCTCCTGATTGGTTGATAAATTGAATCGGTTTCAATGTGCTTGTTCATTTCCAGTCTTAAAGTTTAATAGTTGATAAAACTTATTGTATAAATTTTTTTTGTTTAGAACAATTGGCTTTCTTTGTTGAATACACAAAATTATCAGTATGCTGAAGCACATTCACTACCAATGCGTTATTATTTAATGAAATATATTATGCCTGAATTATCGAAAGCTTTATTGGAATGTTCTGAAATACGTCCAGATGATCCAGTTGATTTTGTGGCAAGTTCATTCATTGTTTATTTATTTCACTTTTTACAATCAAAAGGAGAAGAATGATTTAATTTTTTTTGTGCATTTTAGTGATAAGTATTAACGTAAAATATCTCAGCAGATCCTTAGATTGGGGATTGAGGTCAAAGTTTAGTAGGTTTCTTATGATTCAAAACTTACGCCTGTTACTCCCAATAGAGCATAGTTCGCCCACCAGCATTCTCAAACCCACTCTATCCTGGGCCTTCCTTTCTAGTTCTATACAATTGTTGTTCATTATTCTCAGATGTCTCCGTTTCTCGGCGTAATGTATTCTTCGGTCTTCCTGTTCTCCTTTGGTCTTGAGGATTCGAAGTGATAACTTTACTTGTGACGCAGTTGTATGCTTTCCTTAATTTGTGTCCTATCCATTTCTAGCGCTTCTTCCTGATTTCTTCCTCCACTGGAATCTGGTTTGTTCTCTCCCACAGTAGGTTGTTGTTGATAGTCTCTGACCAACGAATCCGAAGTATTTTGCGTAGACAACTGCTTATAAACACTTGTGTCTGCTGGATGATGTGTTTCGTAGTTCTTCAAGATTCCGCCCCATACAACAATGGAATACGTGGGTAGTGTGTTTGTAGTGTAGCGTCGAGTCGCGGTTGACTATGATCATCACTGCAGGAAGACTACGTACCAGTTAACCGATAACATCCCCCGTAAGCCAAATATCAGTAGGCAGTTGATGGCTGTAGTCGAGATGCATTTGTTGGCGATCTCGTGGTATTGAAAGAATACCGAGATCGTGCCAGGCTACAAGTGTGGTTACTGAGCGTAACCGAATTCGTGCAAGGTCACAATCAACGGAAGAATGAGTGTTTTGGTACAGTTCAACAAACAAATACAGTAAAACAATCCCTGACACAATTGGTTATAATAATTGTTTCCAATACATCAATCGCGTTCTCTTGATAAAAGTAGGTCACTACAGGAGCCCCTCGCTAGAAAGGGTTTACATTTTCGGTAAGCGGTGGTTTCATTCGCGGGACTGATCAGCAGACGTGCGATTGTAGGACGAAAGGGTTGGCGAACAGGAAGCGATTGTTTATCCTCGAGTTGCCACCTAAGATCTTTTAGGTAGAACGGTACCAAGAGAAACGTGCTGATCTGTTGCTCGAGTTAGCGTACCACACCAGATTGGTTTGTATCCAGGATCTGGGGATTGCGTTCGTAGGGGTGTGGGCCAGGAAACGCTGCAGACGTAAGAAGGGGCCACGTTGAGCCAAGGAACCAGGAGCGACCGTAACAACCAAGTGCGAGACCAACACATATGCCAGACAGGTTCGAAACCAGAATATGGACTAAGTGCGTTGACAAGAGCGTGGTTGATCAAACCAGCGTTCGCCAAAATGGATTGAAGTCAACGGTACCAAGCGGGCGATGGTCGGAGGCGTGGGTTCGGGATACAAAACAAATCAAAGAAAAAGAGAAAAAGTGTAGCATGCATGTAGTTTAGGAACAGTCCTAAACCGTATTCATTGTTGATTGTGCGGTTAGTCGCTAAAACGTATGGGTAGGCGTGCTCGGCGACCGGAACATGATACGGTGGTCTTTTTCGTACTTCGTGAGCCTGCAATCTCATCCGAAGTCAAGCGCGGCGTGGTCTGCTGATCTGGACGTGAGACTGAAGTCTCGTCCGTCATTGGTGCAGATGACACATGCTGTTGACCGGGACGTGAGAATGAGGTCTCTGATGTACCTAGCGTGGGACCTGAAGTAGATGTAAGGAACCCGCTAGTAGGTTTGATGGGTCTAGCATTGCGTCTCGAGTTATCGGGTAAAGCACTGTCATCGACGTGTGCTGGTTTGAGACGATCAGTGCTGACGATCTCGACACGGCCATGTCGATCAGCCTTGAAAGTCTTTTCGTGACTAGAAATCACGTGAAAAGGTCTTTCGTAAGG